GTCTACACCATTACTATTATTGGGAACTCACTTGCATTTAAATAAATCCATTTTAAAAATAACATAATCAATCTCCCAAATCTCATCAATGACACCATAAAAATGCAGTAGTTGCCAATACAGGATTCTTATCTTTCGAACTAGAGAAATAAATTGATTCAGCTTCAACCACAACCCCACTATTTTTTATTGTACTACGATCATCTTTTGATTTTCTATAAAAGGTATAATGACCAATGTTGTATGTAGTCCAAGTAATGACAAAAAATTTTGGCTCGTACGACAACCATTAAGTATCTCAGATGCACTATTATCATTAGATACACTTTTATTAAACCAATCTATGAATATCTTGTTATGCTCTATCAACAACAACTTGTCACTCATTCGGGGATATTTTTTCCTGAAAATTCCTTTGTGAATATCTATGAAAGGTTGAACTTCATCTATATTATTCAATATATAGAAATGTGCTTGAATAACTACATCATGAGCCATTGACTTAACATTTAGACCTTGAATACCTCTTCTGTCTGTGTCAGCATGACAAGACTTTGGAATTCCTATAGAATTTGCGTCCGCCAAATAGTTTGTACAAAACTCAACAACTTCTTCTGTGATGTACCTTTCAACAATCGAAACTTCCAGTCAATGGTGATTCTTCGTATATCCTTTAAAGATCTTCATATATCGCTCTATTGGATACATCCACCTTAAATAAAATGGATCACAAATTATAAGTTCTCTGACTAGATGAACAAGTAAGTGAACCATAATGTCAAAAAATGATGGAGAAAAATACATCTCCAATTGACACAAGATTATGGCAGTCTCGTCTTCAAATTCATCTAATTTTTTGAAATCAAGAACTTTATTACATATGGCATTGAAGAATAAGCACAATATCATTATAGTTACTCTCACATTTTTTGGTAGGATCCCACGGATAGCCACTGGTAGAAGTTGTTGCATCAATACATGACAATCATGAGATTTTAAACCAATTAGCTTGAGATATTTCATTGATACAAGTTTCTTAATATTTGATGAGTAACCTTTCGGAACTTTAATACCTTGCAAACACTCGCATAAAATTTTCTTTTCCTTTTTAGATAGAGCGTGACATGCTGGAGGCAGATAAGTTCTTTTTTCTTTCTCTATTGGAGTCAATTGTTTTCGTATATCCATCTTCTCCATATCAAGATGGGAAGTCTTACTATCTTTAATCTTGCCTGGAATTTTTAGAAGTGTGCCAATCAAACTATCACACACATTTTTCTCCACGAGCATCACATCAAGACAATGTCTAACATCAAAACTTGACCAATATGGAAGATCAAAGAAGATGGACCTCTTTTTCCAAATATTTTTTTTTCAATTGCCCCTTTTTCTTTTTTTCTCTTCCCAAAGACAACATTAATGTGTTCCTGCCATTGATAAAATTCTTCCCCAGTTAAAGATTCAAGTGCCTCATCAAACTCTTGTTCTACATTAAAAGCCTTCTGTAATCTACAATAAGGATGGTCGGGTTTTAGAAATTTTTGATGCCCAAGGTAAACAGTCTTTTTTTCAAACACAAGTTGGTGATAATAAGTATCATCTTCACATATAGGACACGCTCTATATCCTTTGATACTTATATCCAACCAAGTTACTATAAGCAGGAAAGTCATTGATTGTGCAAAATAATATTGCACGCATCTTAAACGTTTCCCTAGAATATGCATCATCAACTTCAATGCCTTCATCCCACAAGATAAACATCTATGTCCTTACCAGGTTGTCGTGGTCCAGAAATCATCATACTTAATAGTATACACTTGCGCTTCATGCACAACCAAGGAGATAGGTTGTAAATAGTGAGAAGAACAGGCCACAAAGTATGATTAATGCTCAAATTACCAAAGGGGTTCATTCCATCGGTGGCAAGACCAAGCCTAAGGTTTCTTGGCTCAACTCCAAAATTCGGAAACAACGAATCAATTTTCTTCCATTGCAACAAACCAGCTACATGGCGAATGTTTCCATCACAAGCCTTTTCATCTGCATGTCATCTAAGATTCTTTGCGTCATTTGAATTAGCAAAAAGTCTCTTAAATTAAGAAATTATTGGCAAGTACCATAACACTTTAGTAGGAGGATGCTTCCTACTAACATTGTCATAGTTTTTGTCATCACCACTGTTGGCCTTCAACTTGTAACGCGCCACACCATATTTCGGACATTGATACAAGTCTTCATACTCTTTCTAGTATAATATGAAATCATTAGGGAAAACATGTATTTCGATATAATCCATACCTATTGGACACAATATCTTCTTAGCCTCATAGCAACGATCCGACACTTTGTTATCTTTTGATAACATTTTCTTTAGCAATTCAAGTAATTATGTGAAACTTTTATCCAACCATCCATTTTTTTGCCTTCAGATTAAACAACTTTAACACCGTCGACAATCGTGTAAAATCTGTGCATCCTTTATATAAAGGGGTGTCTTTATCACTACATAACATATCATAAATATGAGCATTCTTAAAAGAAGTCTTCCTAATATCACGAAACATATCCTCTAGTTGATCTTCCATATATTCATCTTCATCCACTCTTTGACTTTGTGACACCCTACTTTCCTCTTTATCTACCTCACCATGCCACGTCCATATTATATAATTTTGACATATACCATCACAACAAAGGTGATGGAATATTTCTTTCTTTGTACACTTTTTGATATTCACACAAAGAAAACAAGGACAATAAAAAATACCATTATTGTCAGGAAGATGTTTATCAGCGTATTCAAGAAATTCAAGAACTCCTTTCTCATAAATCGGACCTAATCTATCGACTTTCATCCAACTGCAATCTATAACAACTTCTGAAATTTATAAACGTATAATAATGTGAATGACATACCAAAATGTAATCCAAAAACTTAATGCATTTGCAAATCTAAATCTAAAGCATATAAAACATTTACTTTAATACTGACTTGACCATAAACAACATAAATATACTGACTTGAGCATAAACAAAGAAAAAAGGAATGAAGATGTTGAAGAATATCGTACTTTGAAGCTGAAGAATCAAATGAACGAAGAGGGTGAAGATTTGAGCTACAAATGAATGGATACGAAGAGGGTAAACATTACGCCGCCGCTGTCGTCTCTGACTCGCTTGTTCGCCTAGGGCGTCTTTTGAAAGAAATACAGAATAAATTTTGTTTTAATTTATTGGTAAACCCTGTAATCACGGTTGGACAAACCAACCGTGGTGGAATTGAAGTCCTCTTACAATGGTTGATTTACTTCACCGTTGTAAAATCTTTTACGATTTATTTTTAAAATAATGGATTTAAGTCCTATAACAACGGTTGGTTTATACCACCTTTGTAAAATTATTTACAATTTATTTTTTAAATAATGAACTTAAGTGACACACGCTTAATGTACTCTAAAAAATAAAAAAATGTAGCTGTTGGGAATTAAAGCTTGCTACACAATATTTATTACTACGATTTTTTAAAACAACCGTCATTAAATTGTTGTTTATAAATACAGCTACTCATTGAGCGCGAAAAATTTAACCTATTACAACAGTGTAAATAAATATGATGTAAAGCTGACGTTGTTGTTTGCGCGTTTTGTAGTAGTGTATCATAAACGAAACAAACACATCGATGTAAGGCTACACTTTGTTAGAGAGATAATAGAGTATGGAGAAGTCCATGTGCTGAAGGTTTCGACTGATGACAATGTTGTTGATATGATCACTAAGACATTGTCAGAGAGATAATAGAGTATGGAGAAGTCCAAGTGCTGAAGGTTTCGACTGATGACAATGTTGTTGATATGATCGCTAAGACATTGTCGAGCTGCAAGTTTTTCCACTGTATGCAGTTGATAAAGTTGCATGATGAAAGCTAGATCATTTCCTATTATTGTAGAGTTTGTTCCAAGGTGGAGATTTGTGAGATATTTGATCGAACTCTAGTGCTGTCAACGGGGATGCTGTCAGCAGGGATATCTATCATGTTTCGACGGGAGACAAGCATGAAGTCGAAGCTGGTTCACATGCTAATATCGAAGTATTACATGTTGTAGTCGAAGTTAGTTCTGGTGTGTAATGTCAAAATATAATGTCAAATTGGGCCTTGTGTTATAAATCCAATTATTTACGTTAGCTTGTTGTTTAAATTAACTTAGTCGCCTATTAATAAACTAGATCTCTCAAGTTGTTGAGAGAGGTCAATTATGTTATTCATTTGTAATCATTTGTAAATCCTAAACATAAAAGAAAATAGAAAATATTTTTTCCAAAATCCTATTCATCTTCTGTCTTCTTTCTTTCTCCCTTTGATATTCTATCCGTTTTCATTGTTCAATCAAGAAACTCCAATTCTCAGTCAAGAATTTATTAATTTGTATCGTTTGTGTCACAACAATTATAATACATAAGAGTATCGATTCAAATAATTATCAATTGATACCAACTAAAGTAGAACACAACAACTGATTCCAACTAATTAGGATGGGAAGAGTTTCTAATAGCTTCATAAAAAAAGACAAATTTATCCCAAGCATACAACTTTATAAATCAAATACCAATCCCCTACATCATGGGATACTTCTGAATGGAAGCTTTGGTTGAGAAACAAGAGAAATAGTCGTTTTGATTCTTCTAGCATGTGCTTCGACAAAAGACCTGTACAATGTATTGTTTCAACACAATGTTATTGTAATTTATCTGCCATAATTTTCTGGAATATATCACAAGATTTTTCAAAGTCTCAACTTGTTTATTTCAAGAATTTTTCAACTCTTTGCCCTTTCACCGTGTTTTAAAGTATAAATAATCAAAATCGATTAATTGTATTTGTGGTTCGAAGATAAGATTAAGGTAAAAATACAACTAACAGCTTGATAGGAAAAGATTAATTTATCAAAAGAGAAAAGAAAAACCAATACATACTTATGAATGAAAAATTTGATGCCGTCTTATCTTTGCTTGAGAAATAGACGTTTTGATTCTTCTAGAATGTGGTTCAACAACAGACCTGGCATTATTTCAACACATTGTTATTGGAATTTATCTAGCATAATTTTTTAGAATTTATCACAAGTATTCTCAAAGAATCAACTTATTTATTTGAAAGATTAAATCTTCTATACCGGAACGAAACCTAAATCTTAGTGGTTTGAATGTAATAATAAGTAAAAAAAAAACATATAAATATGGAATATATATATATATATATAGTGGTGGAAGATTTATACCTATTGAACATGAACATGAAGATTTATCATTCAACTCCGTATTTTTTGTTGGAAGAATAATTAGTTGTTGCTGGTGATCTTCATTTTCAGCTCCAATTTCTTGGTCTTGTGACTCATCAATATCAAATTTTGAATGTCCATGACAATCATCCAAAACTTTAATATCATTAGCATCATCATCAGATAGTTGAGCGCCGGGTTGTATTTCAACAATTTCAACTCCACTAGTTCTACCATCCAACACAAAACTATGTTTTAAGTCATATACAGGAATGACCCCACAACCCTTGATCCATGTTTTACCCTCCCAACCGCGTACACAATTGAATTTAAATGAAAGGTTGTAATGATAACCTCCACTTTCACTCCCAACCTTCATCCAGTGAGAACTATAACATCCTATCCAGCCTAACAATACATGATCTGAAATTAATTTACCATACAAAGACCATTCCTTGTGGTCAATTATTTCGTTGAGTTGATTAATAGTAAAAGAAATATGAGAGTAAGTAAAATCCGCTCGTTTAGGTAGAATGATGCAAATGACGAAACCGCACAAACCATATTTCAGAATAGGAGGAATATCTATGGAAGCCTCTGTTGTATGAAAATTAAACTCACGAGGAACTTGAGCACCCGGAGAGAAACATAAATTCATACAATAAATTGGTACCTTCCAGTTGTTATGTAAATGGGTTCTGTTGTGTAACATATTCTCAAGTATTGATCGTTGAATGGAGTTAGTCTCCAAATGAATGCAATTCTTGGCTGTAAAGCTGTGCAAGCTAACTGGAAGTTTTGGTAGGGACTTAAGTTTCTGGCAGTCATCTAAATCAAGAATTTCCAACATTGAATTGTTTTGGATGTTGTCAGGGAGAGTTTCTAAGTTGCAGCACATACTCAAACATAGTACTTCCAAATACGGTGTGCCTTCAAGGATAAACCAAAGATTCGATGCATTGATTTGTGTACATCCATTAAGGTGCAGTTCAGTAAGTTTCTTAGTACACCACATCAATGAAGAAAGTCCGTGTACAACAGCGCCCCATAAAGACAACAACACCATTTCCTCCGATATCAATGAAAATTCCGCAAGAAATGAAGAATAAGAGAGATCAAGTATTTGGAGAGATTTGAAATGAATGTTATCTTTCAGGCTTTCAATCTTTTGGCAGCCATCTAATTTTAGTTCTGTAAGCTTGGGGATACTGAAAATGGATGGATGAAGTCGACATAGACTCTTACAACCAGAAAGGATTATTCTTTGAAGATTTGGGGCCTTTGATAAATCTGGAATCTCAATCAGGTCTTTGGAGTAACCAAGATCAAGAATCATTAAATTGTAAAGTCTCTATATGAGAAGACAAAAAGCATCACACCGTTTAGAAATCATTAAAATGAGTTCATGATCGCACATGTCTTATCTAAAAGGGAATCAAAACTTAATTAAGAATATATTTAACAGAGCTAACAACAACACATTAATTAAATTTGTACCTGAATTCCATCCCAAAGCTTTTTAAGCTTGCTATGCTTCATTATAAGCTTTACAAGAAATTTTGCATAAAAGGTTGATGGCAACGACTCTAGTGGGAATTTATGCCACTCAAGACACCTCAATTTATCAGACAACCACTCAAGACCTTCAAGCAAATGCAAATTACTTTGATAACCTATATTGATATAAAGATGTCTTAAGTTGATCATGCTTTTAAAGGAATCTGAGCTCAAGTACAAATCTCCCATTAAATAAATAGTAAATTGTATAACTTCAACAACTTCAGTTCCCTAAAACAACAAATTTAGAGTAATGATTAGTAAAGTCTGACATACATATTTATCTTAAATTTCATCCATTTTCATATACAAGTAAATGAATCTCACAGTTACCTTGTTATATTTCAATACATCATACACATTTTGATCCCACAATCGACTTCTTCTTCCGGGGTCTTTGACTGATTCTTTCGTAACAATCTCTTTTCCCATTTCTTTTAACAAATCATGCATTCTGATAAAGCATTCCTTTTCAAAATATATGAGTGCTTTATCTTTAAGGACTTGTAATCCACTCTCTGCAAAAAACTCACAAGCATTCCAAAATGCTGTTTTGTAATCTTTATCATCAAGATTATCATATCTACGTGAATATTTGGAGATGCATGCAATGTCTAGAAATATGGCTTGTTGAGTAGAATCTAAGTCATCAAAACTCAATTTTAACATATCATGGATTCTCCTATGGGGAATTCTTTTGAGTTTCCCCAACTCACTTTCCCATGCTTCTTTACTTTTTTTTGTACGAAAGTTTGCACCTAAAACTTTCAAAGCTAGGGGATTGCCTCTACAAAAACGAATTGCCCTTTTTGATAGATTATCATATCCATCCTTAGGACATTTTTCTCCAAAAGCATTCCAACAGAATAATTGAAGAGATTCTTCTGCATTCATCTCCTCAAACTCATATATTTCACACTCGTCAAATTGACTACATATCTGCATATCTCTAGTTGTGATAATGACTCTACTCCCTTCTCCCAAGTATTTATGGACTACGTTAACATTTTCTGCTTGTTCTAAAGTTGCCACATCATCCAACACAATGAGACTTCTTTCATGTGCAAGTTTATTTTTGAAAATTGGAGTTTCTACATAAGGTGCATTGAGAGGAAGCCCCAACAATGTAGAAAAAAGTTTGTTACGCACAGACTTGAGTCCACACTTGGTTGATTCTTCGCTTATATTTTCAATGAAGCAAGTACATTCAAATTGAGAATATTGCTTAGCATATAAGTGTTTGGCTAGAGTGGTCTTTCCTATGCCTCCCATGCCCCATAATACAAGGGTTCTAACACCATTTGATCCAATTTTCGATAAAGATTCTAATTTTTCATACTTTTTCTCAATGCCAACAAGTTGTTTATTTACTTCAAATGGGTGTCTACGATTCAGTCTTTCCAAAACGTCTTCCACAATAACCTCAATAAAATATGCATCCATCCTATACAAATATGAATATGAGTGGTTAGAAGGTCAACATTTTTATAATGATAATTATTATAAAAAAATAAAAATCCTCAACGTGATTGACCAAGAAACAATGAAAAAAAAATACTTAGAATGAATGAGGTGAAAAGTTAATTGTATTTACCCGTAATTTTGAGAGTTCCATCCAGATAAATTAGCTGCTTCGAAGAGTGCATCTTTCCATTTCTGCAACTTGTCTTTGTTGTGTCTCAAATCTCGCTCATGTTTTTCAAAAGATTGTCGATAAGTCCCAGTTTGATTCCTGACATCAGATGGTTCTATATCATAGAAAACAGGTATGACAATCTGTCTGCGATCTCTCTTGCATTCTAGAATCTTAACGAGTTCATTCAAACACCATTTTGAAGATGCATAGTCTTTTGAAAATATGACTATAGATGCATCTGACCCCTCAATGGCTTCGTTGAGTGCTGGTGAGATCTCATCTCCTTTTTCAAGCTCAATATCAATAAATGTTTGAACTTTTTTCCTAAGAGCTTCATAAAGATGGCTTGTGAAGGTTTTACGAGTATCCTCACCACGAAAGCTAATAAAAACATCAAATTTTTTCAAGGATGCTACCTTAGAAGATGAAGAAGAAGAACCTATGTATTGTTGCATAGCCATTACAAATCTCCTACCACTCTACACTATTATGCTCTGGTGTATTAATACGGAAGTGTTTATATATAATAGATCATTAGTTACACAGTAAGAGATAAAATAACAAGTGGTAAGTTGTAGGAAGTTTCGTTGGACAGAATTAATTACTTTCTCGGTCAAAAAGAAAAAGTAATGTCTACTTTTTGACTTTCTCGTTCAAAAAGAAAAAGTAATGAGTACTTTTTGATGCATGTTTGTCTTCTCTTTCAATAATTGCTAAATATTGGATTGGGTTTTCTATTCTTTCATACACCATTTCTCCATTGTATGTTCGTTAATTGAATTTGTGATATCAAGTATGATTTTGAGACTTTTTTACTGGATTGCCCTAGATTGAAATGGTATATACTATTTTATCTTAGTTTGAAAAAAAATATAAGGGTGTCTTATTTTCACCACATGTTTGTCCACTCAAGTGACGAACATTAGACAGTGATGTCATGACATTGGTAATGACATCCTGTTTAAAACACATTACAACAGTTCTGTCATCTGCTCCTTCTAGCTTCTGCTGCACCACAACTCCTGCTGTGTATAACACATGACAGCAGATGGATGTCATGACATTCAGCATGACATTCACATTAAAACACTCCACAACAGTTATGTCACCACAGCAGATGGAGATGTTATAATATCCTGCTTAACATCAGTGCAGGATCATGTTTTACCAAAATTTAGCCAATCATAGAACCATGGACAATTCTATATCATAGAACCATGAAACTAACAATTTCCCCCTTTGGCAAATTTTGGCTAAAACAACTTATCAGGGCAGCAACAGTAGTTTTTTCAGCCTCACACACTATCATGCTCCCCCTTGATAGTTGCAACATATAACAACACTTTACTCCCCCTTGGTTTAGTAAACAATTGACAAAAATTGGAGTAAGTGTACATACTGCACATGGTGTCCAAGTCTGACGATTCTTGATCTCTAAAGACTGCACCAACAATCATGGACAATGACTTAACCTCCTTGTTGAACTCACTCAGCTAGTGTAAAATTAGCCCTGAACCATAGCTCCTTGAGAGTACACCTTGAATCAGTATTGAATCTTGGGTTCTTGTCTTGTCTGAAGCTGCACCTTCAGGAGAGACACTTTTGACATCACACATTAAAGGATAATCAATTAACTACTTGCCACAAGTAACAATTGATCTTAAATCCTCAATTTGAAACACACAAATATTCTGCAGAGACAAATAAATTCTCCCAGACAGTAACCCATAAACATATTGTCAAGCCATAACAATACACCAGCCAACACAATATCAAGACATCTTGTCTGACATTACAACCTCATTAGTGGTTCAAGAACATAAGCTTGCCTGAGAATCAGCACCCTCTGTACACAGCTCCATAGCAGCACAATGTCATCACAAGCAATGCAGCTGTACACAGATCCCCATGTCATGCTTAATCAGCACTCCCCCTAAATGAGAGAACCCAAACACATGAAGAATCACTGCAACTTCTTCATATTCACACACTAGAAACACATGCAGCTTTGAAGAACTAGAAAACTCTCCAAGATGACAGGGTGAATGTCCTTTCATATGCACCAAGGCAAAGCTAATTGTGTCTTGATCCAGTCATACACATCCAAGACAAACACTTGGATAAAAGCCAAAAATCTTGCTGACCAACACAAATCCCTTTAGTGGAGATCAGATCATGATGCTCTTGTCTGATTTGATCTATTGACACCTAATGACAGGGCCAAGAACAGAAATACTATCAAGTTCATCATGAACTAGAACAGTAACACAATGTCATAACATCTGGTATGACATTCTACCCTCCTAGAGGCATACACTCACAAACTACTTGAACCCACAAGCAATCTTGAGACACAGTTGTACTATTGCAGCAACAGATCCTAGATACAAGTATAACTCCTCATATCAAGGCTAACCAGTGCTCTTTTTCTAGAAGCACGTGAATGGAAAACATAAGACTCATCTTCATGTCTTCAAGAGTGCACTCCTTGTTCAACACACCTGCTGAACTCATTCACTCACTACTTGAACTATAAGCAACTAGTACACCCATCAGACAGAAGCTCTCCCCCTATCTTCTATAGCAGCTGCTCCAAGATCACCACATTATATCTCAAGACCAACTCCATGCTCATACAGTGAGAAGGTACCAAACTGCTTCACTTCTTGCTAGAGTTACCACTTCTCCACAAGACTTATGGCCTGAGTCAGAGAGCTAGAAAGACACCTCATAATCCAAGACATTCTTTCCTCATCATTCTCCCATGTGATAAGTTAGAAATCTTCTGATTTAACTGGTGAATCTTCTCATCAGAATCCAGGCATTCATGCAGTCAATCAATGATCCACTCCAGTCTTGTCCAATCATAATCCAAGATAGTCCTTTTACCTCATCATTCTCCCGTATGACAAGATAGAGTACTTCTTGGTCAAGATGTGAATCATAAGTTCTGCACCAGATCTTCAAGTCCTTATCCAAGTAGAACCAAACCAGATCCACTGGTTCTTTATCTGTCCACAACTGGACTTACTACTGCCTAGTAATCCAACTGAAGATCTTCACAGCTCCACCAGCTTGATCAAATATATCTCCAAAAGAGGGTAATCTTTCATACATAACTTAGGGCTTCTACCACAAGCTCCAATATATGAACAGAAACAGATCCTCCTTTGGTCTTCAACCAACTACCCTTCCTCATAAGAGTAATTAGTTCCAAGCATGAATAGACCCAGAACCTTCTGTGGTCTTCAAATAACTACCCTTCTGCACAAGAGTAGTTTTCTAAAGGCACACTGCTTAAATAACCAAATGCCACTGTTTTGTTACTCAGCATCTTTCAGAGCTCTAGAAAATCTAAGAAAGCTTGATCTTCATAACCTACATGCTCCAAGGCAACTTAGGTACACCAAGACTTGGACCTGTAACACCTACTCCTTCACACAGCTCCTGCAAACTGCATTAGTTAGTATCAATTCCATTCATACCTATCTTCAAATGATGTGCCACAACATCAATTAATGCCCTGAAGTTTGCTTGATGTCATAACATCTGATACGACATCCTGCTGGAGAATTCAGTCCTTCATTATGCCATTTAGAAGAACCTCATCAAGAGTTCCATGTTCACATAGACTTGATTAATGATAGCAAGTTTGAGTAGACAGCCTGAATTCTGCATTAGCTACCTTTGAAATGCATTTTTTCCAGAAGACTCCTCTTTAGAGAAACCAAATGTGCCAAGGCTTGATTCTTCAGGGAAGTTTAGTCACAAGAGATCTTTACAGAAGGAATCCCGCTTTCCTTAAGTAGAGACTTCTTCAGAAGGTCAGAGATAACTGCCACTTATCCTTGTCCTCCAAGATGAGTATGGTCACATGATCCTATGCACTTAGATCAGAAATAAACTGACCCAAGCAATGCTATTACCAGCACCAAATTCTAGACAAGTTTCTTGCCAGGAAACTTTCTAGATAAAGACCAGAGGCTTCCACTAGAACACACCTGTTGCACTCCACTGCTCCTGGATTAGAAATAAGTTGATCCAGACCAGTCTTCATCTTCCAACAACACTATATTCTAGTCTTAGTTTCTTGCTAGGAAACTTACTAGAATAATGACAGATCCTACCACACATGAGTATGGTAACACGATCATCAGCTATATCTCCTTCAACAGACTTCTGTACAATGTCTGCTGATGGAATGTTTCAATCTGGTTGAACATCAGATCCTTGAAGTGGACAAAGCAGATTAGGGACCTTATGCTTGTGCTGCAACTGATGAGACATCATGATCATTGACTAAGGATAATTCATTAAATATTTGTGAAGATCTCAAAGAGTAATTAATCTTAAATCCTTATAACCAATCCTTCTCTGAACTTCAGCAATCTTGAACTTCATGGATAACCAATTAAATATGTGTGTAGTCCACAAATAGCAATTGATCTTAAATCCATACAACTTGTCGAGAAATCCAGATGATTACACTTCAGCAATACCAAGAGTATTCTTTAGTATAACTATCTATAATGTTGAAACAACAAGGCTGCCACCCTGTCTTATGACTTCCTCTGCTGATAGAATCCTTGCAAGTTATGAGTGGTGAAAATAAATCACTTCCCACACAACAGAAAAGTCCAAGCATACAAGAAACAGCCCAGGCACTCAAACAACACAGCTACAACATTCAGCAATCTGAATATAGGGTAATCTTCTCCCAGGGCTACCAGAGTTCTTTCATCAGAAAAATATGCAGCAGAACCACCAAAAGAACATCTTCAACATGCCCTAAACGAGCTGTCAGAACATCTTATAGGACATTGTAGCCACTCCTCCTTTGGCAAAACATTCAACAGGTCACAGAATCTCAGAGGGCACAACAGCAGAAACATAGAATCCTTAAACTCCGCAAGCAGCAGCTCAAACATTTAGCAAGATCATCAAATCAGCTGCCACTTCTCCTTGTTCAAATCACCAGAAAGCATCTCCCAAGATCTCATCCAGAACAGACAGGATGCCTTCTCTGATACCAATTGAAATTCTGGTATACAGATCTCATATGTCCCAAGTGTAACACCCCCTTTCTATACCCCAAAATAAAGCAATTAAATCATTTAGGCAATAAATAAAAATTTTCATTAGAATATAAATTAACACATGGGTATAAAAGAGGCACATAACATTATCCATGAAATTCAAAACACATACAACACCTGCTCATAAGGATATGCAACAAAGGGTAAATCACAACAAAGGAACTTAGTCCTTAAAACCCACATATCAATATTTAGAATAAAAGAAGAAAAATCTAAACATTGAATCACTTCATTCATGTAAACATTATATACATCAACAGTTTAATTCAAGTCATAAGTCATGTTTTCAAAACATTCACCAGCAGATACATACATAGATGTATCACAAAAGAATCAAAACAATTCCTAACTACCCGGTGCTACAT